CTTTTTCAGGAATGTCAGAGGTGAAATTATTTGAATTCCCAAAGTATTTACCCTCCCAGACAGAAAGAGGTTGACTTTACATTTGGACTCGTGCGATGCATGTGAAGGCGTTTTAGATGTTTATTTTCTGTCAGTGGTTGTTACATATTTATATATAAATGAAATATTGTGTGCATTTATCTCCTGGATTAATCACATACAATAAGATGCCAGAGCCGTGCTGTTAGGAGGAGCTAAAATAATTGCAACTGATTCGCGTGTTCGAGCCTGCAATTAAAATTTCTGGAAGCGAGGGTCGGGTGAGGGAGAGAAAGAGAGATGAGAGCAGGATGAAGGGAGAGAAAAGGATGATGACAGGATTGAGAGAGAGAGAGAGAGAGAGAGAGCACGTGTGGGATGGTGACAGGACTGAGATGGAGTCACATTCAATGTTTTGGCCCCAGTCGCTTTCTGTGGCAGAGAATCCCACATGCTCTCCACTTTCTGGGTGAAGACATTTTTCCTCATCTCAGTCCTACCCTGTCCCCTTTAGACTGTCACCCCCTGTTTCTGGACTGCCCCGTCATGACTGGGAACATCCTTTATTGTTGGTGGGTATAGTCTGGATGGATCGAAAAGACTCTCCAGTACTGTGAGACTCGGTCGTATTAAAGTGTACATTCCTGATCACGTGCCACCATCCAGATTTCATTTTTGCGTTCATCAGTCAGATGATTGATAATAGGATTTGGGACGTCATGTTGCCATTGTACAGGACATTGGTGTGGCCACTTTTAGATTACTGTGTATAATTCTGGTAGCATAGCGAAAGGGAGGATAGTATTAAATTGGAGAGGGTGCAAAAAGGATTTGCAAAGCCAAGTGCAGGCCAATGAGACTAGTTTATTATGGGAAGCCTAGTTGGCATGGACAAGTTATGCCAAAGGACCTGTTTCTGTACTGTATGAATCTATGACTTTATTGCGAGATGCCCCCAGCTATCGAAATGAGCAGATTGAACAGGCATCTCCATTCAATGAAGCTTCATCCCCAGGACCCTTCCTTACCACCGCTCGGTTTCATTCTCCCACTTTCTCTTCTATTCTCTGTCGCAAAGTATTACCCAGCTCCATCCTGACATTCTGGGCTCAGCTTTCCAGTTGGACGTTAGTCCCTGGCGCCCCTCTCCGGCTACGGTACTTCTAAAGCAAACGTACGAACTTGGAGCAAAAAGAATGATGTACCTCTTTGACAAACAAAAATCCTGCCCCAAAACCTGTGGCTACAGGAGTTCAAACAGTAGATTTCTCTCCATAAGCCAATAACACATGATCAGGTGGGCGTGTGCGTTTTCCACAGAGTTTATAATCGAAAATGAGAACATTCACAGATGTAAGGAAAATTCTCTTTTTTTTTTAAACAGTAAGAACTGCTTCATATTTGGATGGCCACGGTACGTTGCAAAAGTTAGGTTGAAAATGTTCCATTAAATGATTACACACAAAGGGTTATCGAGGTTTAAATCTCTTTTCCACAAACACAGCAGTGGCTGGATCAGTTGTTAGTTTCCAATCTGACAGATTTTTGTTTGGCTGAGATAATAAGGGGATAGGGGCCAAAGGCAAGTTAATGGTGTGAAGCCACAGATCAGCCATTGAATGGTGGAACAGGCTCAACGGGTGGCACAGTGGCTCAGTGGTTAGCACTGCTGCTGCTCAGTGCTAAGGACCCAGGTTCGATTTCAGCCTCAGGTAACTGTCCGTGTGAAGTTTGCACATTCTCTCTGTGATAGTGTGGGTTTCCTAAAGGTGCTCCCGTTTCCTGGCACGGTCCAATGGTGTTCAGGTTAGACAGGCCCCTTCTCCCCAACCTTTGAGAGAAGCCATTCCTCCTCATCTCCATTTTCAATCTGCCCCACCCCCTTATCTTGACATGATGACTTCTCATTCTAGATTTTCCCACATGAGGAAACATCCTCTCTCCATCTCCTTTGTCAATCCCCCACTTTAGCATCTTGTATCCCTCAGTGAGATCTCCTCTGATTCTTCTAAAGTCCGGAGAATATCGGCCAAAACTGCTCAGTCTGTCTTCCTAAAATAAATCTTTGGAATTATTCAGTCTGTTATGGACCAGACTAGACCAGACCACACCCCCTCCAAATATTTTCAGAAAGTAGCCTCTACCCTAACTTTATTTTTAAAAGCAAACATGAAGTGCTGCTTTCAGATGCAATGCGATTGGTCAAACAACTCAATGTTAAGCAAAACAATTTATTTGAACACTAGTTAAAATGCAATAAAAGAAAGAGGAATTAAGAATAACTTAACTCTATTGGAAATGTAACAGAATAGTAGATACAGTAACTATTGCTAATTAACTGTTTCAAAATAGTAACATCCCAGAAACACACTCCTTGACAAAAATGTAAAATTGAGACACAGATTCTCACGGGCAGTTCTCCAATCCAGGAGGATAAAACATCAACAGAAAATACAGAGACAGCAGGAGCCAGGAGACATCCACTGATGCTTCACAGGCTTTTGAGACCCCAATAGCTTCAGATGCACGTGAAATAAAACAAAACCCAGAAATCCTGATCTGTGAAAGCTGGCCACACCCATTCAGGCTGTGAAAAATAAAACTCAAGCTGTTTAGTTAAGTGGTCTTAACGAGCGAGCTCGATGCCTCTCATTCAATCTCCCTCTCAAAAGAAACCAGGACAAAATAATCTCTTAAAGCTACAGCATCATCACAAATCTCTTTGTCTCCAATGATGTTAGGGTGGGTAGGGAGGGGCAAGGCTATTTGTTTTGTAATTACACCCCCTGTCCAGATCAGCGACTATTCCTGCCTCAGAAGGGGAGGTGGGGGGCTGCCTCGATGGCTGGTTTGTAATGCATTAGAATGGCAACAGCATGGGCTCAAATCCTACACCAGATGGGGTTACCGTGAAGGACTCTCCTTCTCAACCTCTCCCTGGCCAGAGGCGTGGTGACCCTCAGGTTACATCACCATTCAGTCCCCTCTCTCTTATGGGAGAGCAGCTCAATGATCTGTTAAGACTGTGGTGAATTGATCATGATCTGTAATTGATGCACCATTTTCTTTTTAAACATTCAAAATCGACAGAAAGCTATACTTTGTACAAACCGTTATAGCAAACATATATCTCTCTGAAGTTGACACCACCCCCACCGCCAACCACCGCCCCCCCCCACGCCGGTAGAATAATTCATTAAGTAGATGCAGACTACTTCGGGAGGTTGGGAATCTTTGCCGATATTCACTTGGCAGGACTGCGCCTGGAAAATGAACAGATTCTGTTTGAAGTTTTTCGCCTCTCATCAATCAGGAGAGGACGGCAAGAATGGCAAATTTCAAAATCTTAGCCGGATTATGGAGAAAGAGAGAGAGCGAGAAAGAGGAACAGAGTTAACGTTACAGGTTATAAACACAGAAAGTTCTGGAGAAACTCAGCAGGTCTGGCAGCATCTGTGGAGAGAGAGAAACAAAGTTAATGTTTCGAGTCCAGTGACCTATTATCAGGGTTGACCCTTTAAAATGAATGAGCAAGCCATTCAATCGTATTCATTGCTACGAGTTCTCAACAATGAAATGAAATGATATGGATCACCCAGCATCGACCCAGGCACCAGAAAAGACAACAGACCTGAAACAACCCTGTCAGCTCTGAAAAGTCCTGCTTACAAACATCTGGGGGCTCGTGTCAAAATCAGGAGAGTCATCATCATACTCAGAATCATACCTTACAGACAATGTCCCAGACACCACCATCACCATCCCTCAATATGTCATGTCCCACCAGCAGGACAGACCCTGCAGAGGTGGTGGCACAGTGGTATACAGTCAGGATGGAGTTGCCGCAGGAGTCAACATTTATTTCGGACAACAGGAGGACACAGTACGCCCTAACACACTGGCCACATTGCCCTACATCAAGAACACATCAGAACAGACAACACGACTCCTAAGACCACGAGGAATCATGGGAGCGCACAAGCCCACAGCTACTTTATGATAAACACTCACAAGGATTAAAGACCGCATTCTCACAACATGCAGAACCAACGTGGTCGACAAAATACCATGCAACGACTGCCGCAGCCATTACATTGGACAGACAGGAAGGAAACTAACCATCGGAATACATGAACATCAGCTAGCAGCAAAACGGCACAATAAACTCTTCTTAATATTGGTACAGTGACAATGAAGACCATCAGTTTAACTGGGACAAGGTAACCATAGTAGCCCAAGCCAAGCAGAGACACACACGGGAATTCCTAGAGGCGTGGTTCTCTGGTCTGATTCCTATCAGACAGATCACAGGAAACACCTTAGAAAGTAAGGGCAGGAGTCGGCCATTCAGCCCTTCCAGCCTGCTCTCCCCATTCAATGTTCTGGCCCTGACGGCTTTCTGTGGCAGATAATCTCACAGGCTCCTCACTCTCTTGGTGAAGACATTTCTCCTCATTTCAGTCCTTACTCATCTCCTTTAGACTGTGACCCCCTGGTTCTGCACTCCCTCCCAGTCATTGGGAACATCCTTCCTGTGTTTACCCTGTTTAGTCCTGTTAGAATTTTACAGATTTCTATGAGATCTCCCCTTCTTCTCCTAAACTCCAGTGAATATAATCCTCGCCGATCCAATCTCTCTTCATGTGTCAATGCTGCCATCCCAGGAATCAGTCTGTGAAATCTTTGCTGCACTCCCTCCGTAGCCAGAACATCCTTTCTAAGATAAGGAGAGCCCAAACTGCGCACACAATACTCCAGGGTTTGGTCTCACCCTGTACAATTGCAGCAAGATATCCCTGCTCCTGGATTCGAATCCTCTCACTTGAAGGCCGGAATCTCATTTGCCTCCTTCACCACCCGCTGCTCCTGCAATGCTCACTTTCAGTGACTGGTGTATGGGGGACACACAGGTCTCATTGCACCTCCCCCATTCCCAATCCATCACCATT